TTCACATCTAGGATGGTAAGTGCATACATATTTTAATTAATTATCGCCTTGTGCAACTTAAAATCATTCATGATAAAGTCTGAAACTTGTAGAGAATTTTTTCGAATGGCGACCAAGCGATTGCAATAAACATAGAGAAAAAACGATAATTAACAGCTGATAGCTCCTTTATGTGATAATCAGTGATTCAATCTTGAACCAACCATTCATATCTAAGACGTTCAATGCATGTCTGCTTTAATTAATTGTCGCCTTCTGCCATTTAAAATCATCCGTCATGAGGTCTCGCACGTCGGAGAAAAATTTTCGAATGGCTACCAAGCAATGAGCTATCAATTTAAAAGAATTGAACATCTAGTCTGCAGTCAGCCGACATTCCATCCAGCGCGCAGCGCTGAATGGCAGTCTAGTTTATATTCCTCATTTTTCTGGTACGAGTAAAAAAATAGAGAATGAGATTTTAAAAAATTCAAAAGAAATGAGCAATCAGACATGAATCTCACACAAAAAATGCACACGAATGATACTATTTTGCTGCAATGTATATGAATTTACTTCAAGTTATTGGACTTAATTGGTCCTCGGTCTATACTTTTGTAAAGTTTTGATTTATTAATTCTCTGAAAATAACTATTTAAGGAGATCCAAAATGGCGAAAAGTAGAAGGTTTGAAAGTTTAAAACGTTATCTTCGTCGTGTTGTTGTAGAATTACGATATGAGTGTTTTATAGAACGTTTCATCATTATTTTATTTTTTTTAAACTTTGGTAGAATAAACCAGTAGCCAAACAAAAAAAATTTTTTTGCAGAACGACGAAGGTGACTCACAATCAGTGACTATACGTAGTAAATAAAAGAGTGCAAAAACAGAACCATCGTTATTTAATTTCAATTTACACATATGAAATACCATACAAATTATTAAACAACGAAATCATTCGTGAGTTATATGTAAAGGTTATAAAGAAAAAGAGATAAAGAGGAATATTTTAAATTCACCAAGAAAAAAACAACTGAAGTTACATGATTCAATGTTTATGGAAATTCGGATAACCATTTATAATCAGGCGTCATCAAGGACTTTGTTGCTATTTGGTTAGATAAAAAACATCAGCAAGTTCGATAGTTTAGAGTTAACTATTTGTGAATTGGCTTTGCTGATGATGAACTTCGCACATATTTTTTGCCTTTGTTTTACCACACGACGACAAATGCTGACTCAATGTTTGCAAAGTACTTGTAAATCCTTTTCATTCTGCGGCATGATGTCTGCCCATAGTAAGTGATTGTTTGTCTGCTTTCAATCAAAGTAAGCAACTTGTGAATATGTAATTCGCAGAATATTCAGTACTTTTGAGACAATGACACACGTGAATGTCTTGTAAAAAAAATGTTTCCAAGTTATAAAGTCGGTGCTACTCTATTATCACTCGATTTATGTTGATCAAATAGCAATAGAAGAACCAATGAAATGAAAATTTTCTTCTTCTTAATGTGAAAGTCTTTACATATGTTTGTGCTGTGTTATTTTTCTTTGAGTAGTATGCAAACAAGAAATTATTCATGATGAAAAAGAATTTCACACATGTGCATTTTTATGGTGTAAGAAGGAATGACTCAAATCAAAATCAGCATCAGTCGGAAAAAACCTATCTTACATTGGGTTTATCTCAATGAAAAATTTCATGTTATTATTTAAATAAAGTTTCACGAGATTATAAAAAAGGGGTATACATACTGTCTATCGATCGTCTTTTGAAATATTATTTCTTTTTGAAAAATCTATCGGAATAAGTCAATCATAATACAATGGCATCAACAGATAATGAAACGATTATGCATGCAAAACTTTACAAGATACGTGGTGCACAATATTGTAAAGATAATCGACAGACTACTTTTCGTGTGTATGCACCAAATGCCAAAAATGTGTGGGTTATTTTAACAGCATTTGGTCGCGAAGAGTTCCAACTCAGAATGCAAAAAGTGAATACAGGTCTTTGGGAAGCTGTTACAGATCAAGCACCGCCAGGTCGTACATATCTTTATCTTATTGATGATTGTAATGGTAAATATATGTTGCGAACGGATCCGGTAAGTTTTTCCGTTGTTCATATTCCCGAAGTCGATCAAGTTCATTCAGTTGTACATGATCATACAGCTTATCAATGGAGTGATGAAAACTGGTTGACACAACGTTCACTTACCAATCCGTTGCGTGCGCCATTATCTATCTATGAGATTCAACCTAAATCATGGAGAACTAGTTTCTATCAACCATCGAATTTTCGTCAGATAGCTCCGGAGTTGGCCAATTACTGTCTTACGATGGGTTTTACCCATGTGGAAATGTTCGGTCTTCTTGATCATCCCTACAGCTGGGAACGTGGCTATATAATAGCGAATTATTTTGCTCCCTATCGTCATAATGGACAATGTGATGATTTGAAATATTTGGTTGATTATCTACATCAATATGATATTGGAGTGATTATTGATTGGGTTCCAACACATTTTTATCATCGCCATAAGTCCTATTGGTTTTCAAATTCTTTACACGAATTTGATGGAACAAATTTGTATGCCGGTCATAAGTCATTATGGGGAACACTCTATTTCGATTTTAATAAGGAAGAAACTCGTCGTCTATTGTTTGCCAGTGCTCTATATTGGATTGATGAAATGCACATGGATGGAATCCGTTTCGATGCTGTTAGTCAGATGGTTCGACGTCAATCGAATGATATACCTGCGGCAATTTCATTCTTGCGTGAACTCAATCAGACTATTCATAGATTTTATCCTGGTGTTTTGTGCATTGCTGAAGAAACGGAAGGTTATCCTAATTTGACCATGACTATGGACTTTGATTTAAAATGGAATATTGGCTGGATTCATGATGCAATGAATCTTTTACGTACACCCTTCAATGAAAGACCACGACATTGGCACGAAAAAGTTCTAAATATGTTGCATTCTGCGCGAGGAAACAATGACAAAATGATTCTTACGTTGAGTCATGACGATACAGACTGTCACGAACGCGATTACCATAAGACTCTATTTGCATGTGTTTCATATGGTAGAAATGATTCGGAAAAATTTTCCGATCTGCGAAATTTCTTTGCTTGTCAAACATTTGCGCCGAGTCATGGTCATATGATTCATATGGGTGACGAAATTGCTCAGCCTATATCATGGTTTCAACGATTTCGGCAAGGCATGTCTAGTATGGATTGGTCCTTGACTAATACGCCGTCTTTTCATAGCAAAACTCAACAATATCTATCTGATCTTAACTATTTTTATCGAAGTCATCCACAATTTTGGCAAAATGGAGAACTAGACTTTACGATGATTTACGAATGCCAACCAAATCTAATTGTCGCCTATCATCGCGGTATCTATAATAATCGACGCATAGCAATCATTCACAATTTTTCTCATCGAGGATATAAATCTTATGATGTGTCTTTGCCAACATGGGATCCTAATGTGAGACGTATTGGAAAAACAGTGGAAATATTTAATTCCGATAATCTAATTTATGGCGGATCAGGATTATTTCAAAATGAAAAAGTTGGCGTGATACATATGCATAGTGAATGGATATTTTTCAAACTGGCAATTCCACCACTTGCCACAGTTGTATTAGAAGAACATTTGAATTAATATAGTAGAAATTTTTCAGAAATAACTCGAAATAAAAGCTCTTAATATTGTATCATATTCATGTTAATCCATGTAATTTAATAAAATAGTTTTCCAAATTGTTATTGAAAAGTGATGTTTTTTTTTTTATTTTCTATAATGCGAAATACATATAAAAGCATCTTGAATTAGATTTCACAGCTAGAAATATTTTTAACGACTAGAATCATGTGACGTTTATAACCGTTTGAGTCATAATGATTATTTATTTTTCAATCGACGACGACGTGTGGTAATGCGTTTTCTAGTCTATTTATTATAGAGAACCGTGTATTATTTTCAAATATTTTCTGTAATAAAATAAAATTGCATTTTCATGCATGTAAACTTTCCCAACCATAAAAACTTTCTAAAGATGATGTGTTGAAGAAACTTACCCAAACAAAAAGTATTCGTAGTCTCTTATACGAAGCTGTCATTATTTCCTATTTTCAATAAGTATACTGTTGAATCACAACAGTTACTTCTCATAAGAATTCAGAAATACTTTTCTGTTGTACATGTAACATGTATTCAGGTATTGATAAAACCATAGTGATAAATCTACAGGTTATGCAATATGAGCACGAAATTTTTCAAGCAGTAACTCACTAGATCATAGAATTGTCAAATAGACACAGTGAGACATTCAGGTGTGACTTATTCAACATCAACAACTGATGAGAACATTTCTGCAACGCAAATGTTTGTAGTCACTGAATTCTCTAATGGTTTGCCTTTAGCTGCAAATATGTCGCGATAACAGAACTTCGATCGCGAATTATCAACCTGTCCATCCATTGTCTCAGTTTTAATGGCTAGTATAGTTGGAGACATATGCATTTATTTTCTTAATATTACTTGGAATTTGTATCCATCTGCTCTTGCTGCAAATTTCTAGGATTTATTATCAGATGAATAACAAAATATAGCAGAGACAAACAATGATACTCGGTATAGCAAGTAACATAGAACACAATTGAAGTATGATAAAACAGATGGTTTTGCAGAACGACAATGAAATTTAAAGTCATGACTGAAAAAAAGCAAAACAATATTTTTCTTTCTAAGAAGTCAACTTCAAGAAGAAACAAAAAGAGAAAGAAAAACTAAAAAAAAAAGAGAATGAAAGAACCTGTTATAGCTTTTGGTGTTCTCTACTTTTCCAAAACAAAAAACTTAAAAAATGTTACTCGTTCAATTTCTCCGTCAGCTATAACTATGGCATTCCAAAAACCAACAATAACTTTTCTATTTTTGATCAATCCAATAATTATAAATATATGACTATTGAATCGTTATTTTGTTGTCAAAAATAAATAAACTACAAATATTCATATCTTTATCCTTTTTTAGATTCGAAAACTATTGAAATCATTGATCATAAAATTTAGCTAAACACTTTCTAATTGAACTAGTAATAATAAGAATACAAAAAAAAAGAAGTTTTTTTTTAATCAGTCACAGTGACTACAAATGAAGAATATTTCAATGAAATTGAACCTTTTGTTCATTTTTATTTGGTGCTTCTATCATGAACTACTGTATATAAACACAGAAAAAAAAACAGAAAACAAAGAAAGAAAAAAAATTCATTTGAAATTATACACAAACACAGTCGAGTCAATTATCTTTTACAATTGTATTGTCTCTACCACAATGGACACAACAACCGTTTTTTATCACGTCAAGCCGATCATCATCTGTTCTACTATTTAATAATATAGCAGATAAATTATCATTCTGTACATTTGAACTTCTCATTTCCGTTGTTGATATCATAATACCATCTGTTAATTTATGGATCGTTCGACTACGTTTTTTAGAACTAATAGAAACAGAATAAAAAGTCAATTATGCAGAAATTAAAAAACAAGTAACAAACCAAGTTGAATCGATTCCCGCATTGATATAAATCGTTCCATCAAACTCACCAACTTCAGATAAATGTCGATCTAATGGTTGACGTGGTGCTAAACGAGATTTTTGTCGACGTTGAATAATACTGGTCATATTGAAATAATTAAGAAGTTATACAATTGAAAACGTTGAAGATACTGTATATGTATATAAGTATGTGTTAGGATACTAACAATAGTATATCAAGAACAAATTTTGACAATGATTTACTGACTAGCTGAGAGTAGTGGACATATTTATATAGTCATGTACTTGCTTGTCCATCACATAATGTAGAAGAACGACAAAAAAACGAAAAGAAAAAAAATGACGTCAAGAAAGAGAACGAAAAACAGTTCTGTGTTTTAACAAAGTCCTCCAAAAATGGTCTGTTATTATTTATTATGCGTTCTTTGGGTCTGTGACATTGATGACGTTGACTCTTTTATATTGTTCTTGTCATCTATTATTCATTCATACACGATCAAATGAATGACATCATTAAATGATTTCTATTAGTCAAAAACCATCTTTCTTCCGAAAAAAAGTTATTTTTTTATGTAAAAGAGTCCTCAAACAACGGAAATACACAGCGTTGGTACTTTGAGTACAAAGATTCATATTATAATATTTTATGACAAAGACATACAAAGAAAAAGATATTTCATAAATTTTGCTTTTTTTAAAATTTTGACAACAAACAAAAAAATAGAATTATACAATATAAATCTTTAATCAAAGATAATCAATTGTGGTTCAGGTTTATCTTGATTAATAATTGGAACTGATTGTTGCTGTTGACTATATGACATAGTTGAATTACTCAATAATATTTGCCCCGTAGAATTCATATAATTATTATCTAAATAAATAGAAATAATGAGTCAGATTTACGATAAGAAAAAAAAGACCAGTTTTTCTTTCATTCGTTGATTCAATAGACAAACAGAAATCGGGTTTTATGACACATTATTTTTTTCCACGGAATATTTTCTTTTCTTGTATTTATTTTAGACAAGGATTTAAAAATAAATATTCTCTAGCATTACCTGCATTCACGTTTATTGCGTAAGAAACCGGTTGAGTTAGTATTGATGACGGTACGTTCGATGATAGTTTTACATTTGTATTTGGTGATTGTATCATCATAGAAGTATATTGAGATTGTTGTGTCGGAAAAGATGTTACCATTGGATATTGACTAGTTCGATCTATAGATTGTTGTGGCGGTAAAGTGATATATGATGGTTGATGAGGTAATTGACTATAATCATACGATAACATAGACTAGAAAAATATTTCAACAAAAATTTCATTATCGGACAGTTTTTTCTTTATCGAATATTATGTGAAGAAAATGTTTATATTACTAAATGAGGATTTTGTGAAAGTTGTTCACGTGCTATTGTTAATTGTCGTTGTTGTTCAAGGCGAGTCTTCATTTCTAATTCTTGTTGAACTAGATGTTGAAGATGTACTTGTCGTTGATATTCAAGATATTCCTATAAATAGAATTTATTTTTAACTATTATGGATCGAATAGATTTCAATTCAAAGTTTAGATCATCAAATGAATGAAAAAAGCGATATATTTCAATAGTTTAATTTCTGAAATGAAGCTGTTCGAACAAGTTTTGTTCTATTTTGAGAATGATGTTTCAGTAGCAGAACACAAGTGCTTTTCTTGAAAATACAACAAACATTGTTCGAACAAATTCGTAATAGAACTAAACTTATCGACCTGTACTAGTCATTAAGATATGAAATCTATCGAAATCTTAAAAAAAAAATAATTATTGATACAGTCTCTGAGAAGATTAAAATGTAAAACACAATGTAACTACTGTTGCTAATCACAAGAAGATTGTTTTTATTCCATCTATTTTGAGATGTACTTTCTCACCATCATTTTACTTATTCCTCTAGAAATATAATAAGGAAATAGTTAATACATTGTAACGAGACGCTATTCATATATGATCTGTGATCGTATATCAATGTTGAGAACGATCTGTGGGGGTACAAATTTTTATCCTTATAATTCAACACGCCTTGTCGATCGTGTTTCATAAAATTTTAATTCGAAACCAAGAATAATAATTACAAGGATGATGAATATACTTCAAAAGTTTTCATGAAATAAAAATTTTTTTTTGTTTTTTACATTTTTAAAACATGAATCCATAGAAAAGAATCAGAAATTATTAAATATAACCGTAATTAATAAACATTGATCAACAATTTTTTTAGAATATGAGTTTGTCTTGCTTAATACTCAGTGTTTCATTTGATAATCAGATAGTTGTTATAGACTATAGGTAAAGAAGTACTAACAACGGAATATATTTAAGTATTTTGCTTAGAAATGAGATGAAACTTATCTTATCTTGTAGAGAATTTTTTGCTGAAACCTTTTCAAAAATCCGAGGACCATGTACTGTAATTTTCTTGTGTGAGTGAATATCTTCATGGAAAAACAAGTTTCTTAGAATTAATTGCAAAATATCATGTTTTGTAAATATAATTTTTCGCTATAGTCGAAAAATCACAGAGATAAAATATTCATACTGAAGTGTAAGTACAAATATGTACGTAAATTTTTGAACATTTCAATATTTGCACTTTGTCTCTGTTATTTTTTTCTTACCAAATTAAACAGCAAAAGTGATTAGAAAAGAATTCTCTACAAAACGTGATATTTGACAGTTGATTTTCAGATACTCGATTTCTCATGAGAATACACACCTTGCAGAAGAATAATGTTCTGCGCGCGAATATAGCTTTTCAGAACCGAAGTTAATCGACATTCGATAGATACTTTCACAGTCACAGTACAGTTTTCAAAATTTTGTTATAGATAAAAAAACCGAAAAGTACACTATTTCGTTTCTTCCATAAACAGCAATAAAAGATAAGAGAATGTCTCGAATTCTATAAAAAAAAGCAAATGATTAAGGATTCATTTAGTGTCGTTCTAATTCTGAAATCCGATCAATTTCGCTAAGTATACATTTGCTTGTCGCTGATGATATTGGAGTGGAGTACAGCGTTGATGCTAAACGTCATAATTGTTGACACATATATGGATTCTTTTTCCATCATAATAATTCATTTTCTCTTCATGTATTCAGTTACTTAATCACCGTTTGTAGATGAATTTTTATTACAAACTCAATTCTTCTAGTCGAACAATATCACCTTTCATTTGTCTGACTTGTTCTCAAGTACTATTAATTTCTCAATCATGATCGAATCGATTTTCACTCATATTATTTAATATCTATTAGCATTTTACACTATATGAGAATGATTTGACAGGTTTCTCGGATCATTACAGATGCAACAAGGAAAGCATGTAAATATTTTCCCTTGTGAAACTGAACTTTTCATTTTTGGACAATAGAATCAATAGTACGTTGACCCATTAACTACCCATTGAGGCAGAAACCGACACTCAATCAAAGTATATGTCCACTTATAAGATATTCGTGTAGCCTAATCCATATGAACTATCGCTTGATTACTCAAATCAAAACTTTTTTTTCTTCAGAATGTTTGTGTAGGATTCTTAAAACTCTAAACATCATCATTCTCTTTATCGATTTAGTTTATAAGATTTCATATTGAAGTATAATTTTTTTTTATATAATAAAATTGTAAAACTATTTACTTGTTTCTTTTGTCTCATAAAATCAAGTTTTTGTGCTAATTGTATTTGTCGTTGTCTTTCACGTTCTAAAGCTTCTTGCTGTTTTCTTTCATAATGTTCTGTACGTAAAGCATTTAATGCTTCTCGAGCATCTTTTAATTGTGATAATTTATCTTGTAAATTTTCATAATGAGCTTATCAGAAATGAAAAAATAATTTATATATTAGAAATTATTTGATTAATTATTTACCTCGTTTATCTTCTAATAATTGCATAAAACGATGAAGTTCAGGATGTAAATGTTGTAACATAACAAAAACTGATTGTACAGCTGTGTCAGTTGTAATATTTCGATTACGTTGTTGATTACTTAACATACGAAATTTGAAATTATTTATATGATCAGTAACAAGACTTGTAAATTGATCGATTTCTTGATCACTTATAAAATTATCTGTTTGTTCCTATAGACAAAACAAAAACTTTGAGAAAACAAAATTTCGAAATATAATAAAGATTTTTACTGGCATTTGTGGTATTAATTCTTTATGTCTATTTTGTTGTTCTTGTTGTCCTCGTTCGATATATTTATTTAATTCAGTACATTGATTATTATTTTCAGAAATGTTCTTTAAAAATAAAAATAGAATAATTCAAAATGAATCATTAATGTCATACTGTTGGTGCAGAAACAAAAGTCGACATTGCATATTTCTGAGTTAATGCTTTCTTTTGACGTTCTTTTTCATTAGCTTCACTTTGTGAAATGGCTAATGCAAGTTGAAAAGATTCTTCTTCATCAATTTCAGCTTGAGTTTTTGTCTAAACATATTGAATTAATTTATTATTATTATTTTCTTTTCAGTATGATGATTACTTGATTGGGAGTAGTTGTTGATGCGGATTTCGATGATGAAGCAGATTTTGACATTAATGGTACTCTAATTATTAAAAAAATATATAAAAACGAATGACAATAGATCTGTCTTAAAGAGAAAGTTTTCTTGCAAGGAAACATATGTGTATTCCTAGGTATCTGAAGAATGTTTGTGAATAAAATAATGAACTATTCTGCATTACAGCCTGTTCGACTGGTCACAAACTCGAAGGACTCTACTAATCATTGTTACTTCTGTTTTCGTGCATTTTGGTTCTTGAAAAATTGACCATTATTAAAATATAGTAAAATTTTACTAGTGTGGGGATCACTCTGATTTTTTTAGAAGTATTCATCATAGAACTATACCACGACTTCCACTATGAGAGACTTTATTGTATTTATCAATTCAACGAAAAGCATTTTAGATTTATCTCTGCGAATGAATTCAACAATGATGACCTAAGAAACAGTTATCAGCTAGTTCTTTTTTTAATGTTTTATCTATTGTTGAATTTCAGATAAAGAACGTTAGAAGTTATCGAATATTGTAAATGTTTACTGTGTCACTAAGCTAGATAAATGTC